CTGTATCGTAATACAAGACTCGGTCACCTAAAAATCAAGGGCATCGTAAAGCTTGAGGCGAGCCAGCGAAGTCGTGAAGGCCGCGATGAAGACGTTTTGTTTGAAGGAGCGCTGAAATTCGTCTTCGTTTTTAGTGACCACAAACTCCATCACATCTTCGGAGCAGATACGTACACTGTGAATCTCATTCACCGGGTCTTCTAGCAGCTGAAACAACTGTGAGGGTTGGGTGATGCAGTGCGTCACAGGCTTGTTCTGTCGCTCACCAAATTTCCCCCATAAGCTGTAAAAGAAAAAAGTAATGTTATTGATTTCTTAGTATGGTCCGCAGATTATAATTTTTCGATCGTGCATTCGCGTTTGCAAGGGAGTAATCATTTCACGAATTAAAATTTGCAGTAAAAGACTGCAAGTTAAATTTTTAAAATGTAGACTTTTTCAAAATATTTCCCATACAAAACACTGTAATTTTTGATTTGTAGTGTGTACTTGTCATTGCACAGGAGTAAACATTTCGCGAACTCAAATTTGCAGTAAAACACTGCAACTAATTTTTCTTAAGTGTAGACTTTGACTGCAACTTAAACAATTTAATATAACTAGTTACCTGTTCAAAAGTAATTTCGCAATGCTTTTTCTGCCCGGATTCACAGCAATCTTTTCAGGATCCAGCTTAATCCCCTCGTGTTCTTCATATTGCTTTACGTACTCTGCTTTCTGCTCTGGGGTTTCCACACCTGCAGGCCATCCGGCGCTGTCCTGTTTAAGTTTTAACCAGGTATTCACGTAGCCAGCAAAAAAGCCTTCACGTCTATTTTCTTCGGGGAAGTGCCAGACTTCATGTATTCTTAGGATTTGGTACCCCTTCTCCACCGCTTTTTGTAGTTCCGGAGTACACCAGGTCCCTTTCAGCATGCGCTGTTCGCGTGTGTGACCACACATATTGCTTCGTTCGAGCAGGGGGTTGTCCAACTCTTCTGCAACACAGGACTTGCAAAGAGGAAAAGTAAGTTTTCCCCCTGCCCTGACAGGCAGAACGGGGTGGTACAAACGTTCAGGAGCCAGGATATCCACTTGCGCGAGAACAAAATAATCGTTAATGTTCTGGTTTTCTGGACGAAAGATAATCTGCGGGAATCCCACTGGATAAGTTCCATATTTGTTAATACTTGGATACAAGCTTGTAAAATCAACATAACTAATCTCCTCATCTTCTGCTGTTTTAGCGTACAGGGTCGCAGCGCCCGTTCGACCCACAAAGAACGCGTCTCGCGGCTCAAGCGGCGGAACAAATTCGAAGTTTGCTAGGAATTCGGCCAGCTCAGGATCGGTTTGTTTCTGTCGGGCAAAGTCGCACCCCCACATTTCAATGACGGTGTAACCAGCGTCTCGAAGAAGAGCGGTTTTCTTCAGTGTGGCTTCGTAGACTTCGAACACCGTTCGGTCTGGATGACAGAATCGCTTCATATTGCATTGCTTCGGGTAACATTTTCGGCAGCCGTGATAAATGCAACCGTGGTACTCGTAGACCGTATTGCTAGCTGCATGATAGCCATCCACATTGTAAGACTGAGCCGGGGTGATGACTTTAGCTTCCCCATCCAGTGAATTTCGTACATGCTGAAAAATAAAAAATATATCTTTGTTACTGTTTCCTGCGCGGTCCGCAGATTATAATTTTACAGTCTGCATTGCTCCTTACATAGTCTAAAACATTTCACGAATTGAAATGTACAGTAAAACACTGCAAATAGTTTTTCTTAAAGGCAGACTTTTTACACAATTGTCTCATACATTTCCTTCTAATTTTTGATTTGTCCTATGCATTGACGTTTGCAAAGTATAAAACAACTCGCGAATTGAAAAATGTTGTAAAACACTGTAACTTACATTTTTAAAATGCAGACTTTGACTGCGACTAAAAAAATTCTTACCTGAATTCCGCCGCCAATCTTGGCATTTTCAAACTCCAACCACTGCAATGCTTCGATGCTTTGGTTTTGCTGGTTATGACGCCAACCGCCGAGGGGTTCCAACGCAATGGTGTAAGGTTCCAAAAACTTTTTCTGGAACACTTTAAAGGCGGTGCTCGCAATTGTGACACATTCAATGGTGGGAATGATTCCTGTTAGATCCATCATTTCGCTTCCGAATTTTTCCATCGACTGAGTTAAGACTTTCACATCACTTTTCAAGTAGGCGGATAGTTCCTTTCGGCAATCGAAGATCGCTCCGCTTTCGACTTTGTCTTTGTGCCAGGAGAAGAATTCCTTGCGCCGTTTTTCCGTCATGCGTTCAGGGTGGTATTCTTCCGCTTTGGGATATACACCAATGTAATCCAGCTTGTCTTCACAGATATACGAATACGGAAAGAACCCCTTGTGAGCTTTCGTCAAATTAAATGTGGCAGGCAAGCGTTCCAATGGCATATTAAAAAAATTAAGCGAGTCGCGAAAAATCATATTACCACACTGAAACGATAAAAATTTTGCACCCATACTCAACACTTTTTCCACCTTGTACCCCTTATCATACAACAACTGCAAATAAAAGAAGAATCAAACCCACGCATATTGTGTGCAAACACAAACACCTGCCGTTCCTTCAAATCTTCCGTGACCGTTTTAGCCATCACATCATTCAACATATCCGAAGCCTTCCCTGCCTCGCGGTAGCTACCTCTCACATTCACATACTGCCAGCCCACACAAACATCTTCAAAATCCCGATTCTCATCCAAACTACATTCAAAATCAATACAACAAACAAGGGGTGGCGGTTTCTCGTCTTCTTCTTCTTTTTTGTTTTTCTCGGCTTTTTCTGCTTCGACCAGTTCTTCCAGAAGGGCTCGGTCTTCGTCACTGAAGGCATCTGGTTGCGCTGTTAGAAGGTCGCTTAATTCAGATGTTAAAGGCTGAATATAACACTGATGGCTGGGGCCGACTTTGTCTCCACAGTTAGGGCAGCGATATTCCCCGCAAACATGCTTCTTTTTCTTAGAATTCTTGTATACTTTGCAACATTCAGGACACTTTTTAAACATGCCGCAAACGGCGCTTTGCTTGTGAGCGGTAAAACATTGTCGTCCGTAAAATGACCGACCACAGTCCTTACAGTAGACAAGTGCACGCTTGTTGTCTTTAAAATCAGGACATTTTCCGTTTTTTCTTCTACAAGCTTCACAGTTCTGTCGAGAACAATTATGATGAGCCGAATCTTCCTGATTGTAGCCTTTGTTACATTTGTGACAGTAATAGCTGCGATTGAGGAGAGCCGGCACGCTTCTTAATCCGTGAAAATGATGTTCGACTTTCAACAGACACAGTTTTTTCGGGGCAGAATCAAACATCTCATCGTGGTACCAGAGAGCGCCACACACCCCTTCAAAGATTTTAATCTGGTAACCTTGAGGGCCGAGATGTTCTTGAATTCGTTGAATTTCAGGTAATCCACACGGTCCTTCGGGAACACCGGTTTCTTGATGAAGCATGTAGGCCAGATGTCCCTGCTGCCCACGTCCTTGAGAAATGTTTTCATACCGCGGATCTTGATCCACATAGGCTTTGGTCGATACCAATGCGCGGGCGAAACACAGGTCATCTTTGTTTTTGATTATAATCACGTATCTTTTTGCCAGCAACTGTTCAAACGACTTGTTGCTAGGATTTTTTTTTCGGGGTCTACCCCCACGCTGTCGGTTCTTGAAAAAGGACAGTTCAGCGTAAAATTCACCGTTGGCGGCATCGAAACTTTCCGCGGAGTTTAGCTGTTTGGCAAGTTTTTCCAACCATTGGCGCGTTAAAGGTGAATCTTGGATCCACTCGCTTAAAGGCAAACGGGGGCAGCTGGTCCATGTATGTGAACCCGTGCTGTGATGAATCGCCATGGAAAGGGAATAATCCTCCACATTGGTAATGCCATTGCGAGGATCGCGAATAAAATTGATTAAACCCTGGTGAAATGCTTGTGCGACGGCCTCACCTTGAAATTCACCATTCGGAGGCCGTAGTTGCCGAAGGGAAAATCGAACATTCATCTGGATAGCGACATCACGATGAAACGAACGCGGGGGTCTGACTCGCTCCATATTAACTGAAAATAACGGATTCCCTCCCTGTTGATCGCTCTGGCGTGAGGCGATTAACAGATCGGTTTCATCGTCTGAGTCCATCAATTCTTCACCTTGACTCGGTGTCCATTCTGTCTCATCCTCTAAAAAAGAATCGAGACTATCGTTCATCAAAGCGAGAATATGAGGATCCATGATTTTCGAAGATCGTTTTGGAAAAGCTCCACACAGTAAGACAGTAAAAACTGAATGACACTTTCAGAGACGCGAATGAGTTAAATGAACTGCGGAGTATGTGTTTTGAATGTCATTAACTTATCCTAAACAAAAGGTTGCCCAAGATTGCCTAATGACCTATTTTCCCTTAGTCAGCTATACTCTTCGTTCTTTTTCTAATTACTTTTCCAACTGATCCCTCAAGACTAAGTCTTTGTTCGTTTTTCTAATTCATTTTTGGCTGAGTCAGCTTTACTCTTTGTTCGTTTTCTAAGAAATTTTGTCTAATTCAGCTTTACTCTTTGTTCGTTTTCTAAGAAATTTTGGTTGATTCAGCTTTAATCTTTTCTTTTTCTTGAGTGTTCATTAAGTTCTAAGAAAACCCCTCCCAGCCTGAGCGTTGATTTGACAATCTCAGGGTGTGTTCCTTTCGGCGAATCGAAAAACGAATTTTTGATCCTACATTTGCCAGATTTCGCGGTCGAAAGGAACGTGAAATCCGTTTTTGGATTCACCGAAAGGAACACACCCTCAGTTCATTTCTTTTTTCCCCAAAGACACAAGTAAATTACACGCAAACTTAACTTTATTTCATTTTACCTCCCTTCGGTAAAATGTTACAATAAGATTCTTAAATAGTGCAATAAGAGGAACGTAATTTAGCCGCAAGTCAGCTAAGTCCTTTTTAAAACACTTAATTACAAACGGGATTCAAGAAAAATAAATTAATACAACTCTTCATAATAATCGCGAAAAAAACCAGGGAAATTCTAATTTTAGGTGAGCGTAGGTTCGCTCAAAACGTTCAATCATTGTTTCAATACCAGCAAAAAAAGGATTGTCAACAAGCTTTAAATCATCGATCGTTACATTTAAAATTGTGATACGAAAATCAGTTGTCTGCCTATTGATTTCAGTCCACTCTGTAAAAGGATTTAGCGGTGAAAAACGGATATCTTGCATCACTTTTCTAAGAGAAACCCAAAGAATTCATCATTCTCTGTTCAAGATTTCTGCGTCTACGTAAAGCGCTAGTGTGTCTATATAACTTAAAAAGTTTTCTTCGCTCACTTTGAAAATCAACGGCTTCATAACGATCATGACGCATCTGTCCTTCAACGGATAACCCCTCAATACAAATTCGAATACACTGAGAACAGTGTTCTTGATTAAAGGAAAGCCACTGTACTGAGCTACAGCAGCAACGTCTCTTAATCTGCCTCAAACATTTACTAAAAAAGAAGTAACAAATTTTACATGAATTCCAAGTGCCTACGAATGGATGTATAATAATAAAGACGAATTAAACGGGCTTCCCGATTTTTGTCTACAAATTTCTGTTGCCTTTTCGCCACAATTCCATCCAATGTTAATTGTGTGCCTCGAATTCTTTTACAGTGAGGACATGGAGTTTCTCTGTACTTAGCATATTTAGTGGAAACCCATTCCGTTTTATGGCAATACGTATTCCATTTTCTAAGTTTCAGCTGGTTTATACAATTTCTAAAAAAGATAATTCAACAAGCGCGTTTAAAAACACGTTTTTACAATTCAATCATACAACGTTTGGTCTTGACGCTTAACCAGGTACAGTCTTTAATCCAAAACAGGGATTCCAGAATCGGTCTAAAAACACAACATTAACTAGAGTAAATTGTCGATTTGTTTCCACAATCGATTTAAAAACGCAACATCGCTTGGGTATATTTTTGAGCTTGAAAACAATGTTTCGATAAAACACAAATCTGCGTAGACAAACCTGAAATTGACGCGATGGTCTTCTCTATACTTATTTCTGTCTTCGATGTATTGCTGCGATTGAAGTTCTTTTGCCACTGGATGCCATGGCACCAAAAACGTTTCTGCCATCAAACCCTTGTTGGGCACTGCTTCAAAGGCAAGTTGGTACAAAGTCTTCATCTTGAGCAACGGATATCTTGACACTGTGATGAGCAGAGCAAAATGACTTTCCCAAATTCACCCTTCCCTTATGCTATTCATGCAAGATTCACGCTCATTGACGCGGGGACAACAAATGTGGAGCGGCAAAAACCAATTAACTTTTCACCGTTCTTTCAAGTTTTAAACCTTAGCGGCAAAAAAGTTCACCGCTCTTTTAAGTTTAACGGCGGGCGGCAGAAACAATTACCCTTTTCGCTCTTTTTCAAGTTTGAGTTCTTTTTGTTTTGCAATCTGTTTTAAGATGAACCAGAAAAAAATTTATTTTCAACCATGGCTTCGCCTTTTGAAACCGAGGGAACTTTCCTAAAGCAAGAACAAGCAGACCATATTAACGAGAGGCATGTTTTAAAACATGAACATGTGAGAGCGTCGAAGTTTGAGTCACAAATTGATTTAGTCGATTTGTTAAAAAATATATCGGAGCTCACCTGGGAACAGAACAACGAAGACGTGTCCGTAGTACACGAGGGCTGGAACGAATATCATGGACACTTTTATTTGTTCGTGTTTAAACTAAACCGGCAAATTGGTGCAGATCCGGAAGGCTTTCCTGCCAAACACATAGCGGTGTATTATTCTGAGAAAGTAGCAGGCGAGAAATGGCAAATAATATCTGCCTACCCATTCACCTGGACATACTATTCTCAATTTCTAAGTAGGAAAAACAGATCCTACTAATTGTCTTATGACAAAACGGTTATTTTAGGAACCAACAAATGATTAAAAGTCAATGTCCAATACTGAGAAAGGACTGATAGGTTTGAAAAGACTAGTTTATTTTGTAGTCATCTTTCGTCGAGAACGGGCTTAGCGCAACGCGTTAAATCTTAGTACTGACGCCAGGTAACTTTAGTTTAAGCTTACAGGTTCAAATCTTTCTCTCTTTCAGGTCTTCTTTTTTTTTTCTAAGACCTAGGAGCAACATTATTTTAGCTGACTCAGCGAGTTTTCATGCAAATTTGAAGCGAACATAAATTAGCATACGAAACCATTGACTGGAACGCGTTTCTTATAAAACTATACACACATTCTAGGAACTTTTAGAATGCTCACGCTTTAAAGATGTCAACGACTAAGGAACTCGGGGAAGCTTGGTTTGGCTGTCAAGCAGAAATAAAACATCTAAAGGCTGTATTAAAACTCAAAGAAACTCACATTCTCACACTCAAAGAGTATATTCGAAAACTCAAAAGAAAAGAAATGAGGAGACAACAAAGAGAGCAAAAGAGAGTCGCTGAGAAGAAAGAAGTGAAAAAAGAAGAGAAGACTTTGATCTACGATAATATGGTCGGGGACCTAGATATCTTATGCGCTAAATGTCAACGCTATCTGAAAACACTGTAATAAATTACTTTTAGCATTAGATCTTTATCTTTCTTTGAATAGCTTGTAGCGGCATGGTAGCATGGTAGCGAAATGTAAGGTACGGGGATCAAAACCTCGCTATGCCCTGTTTTTCTTTAATAGAGACTCTATGGCCGAATGGATAAGGCGCTTGACTACGGATCAGGAGATTCCAGGTTCAAGTCCTGGTAGAGTCGTTTTTTCAGAAAACGTTCCGAAAAAGTTCCGAGCGCTCTCCGAGCGCCATCTTGAATTTTTAATTTGATTGACAACTTAGAACAATAGCCTTAAAACAATAGCGGCGGCGGCATCCTTTGAGTGGCCAGGTGCCCACCCTTACTACTTATGGAATGCTTTCCAGAACGAACTGGTCTACAAAAGCAGCATCAATATGTTCGCAGATGACCATCAAACGTATGTTTGTGGTGAAACGATGGAAGATAAGCAAAGAACTTTAACGGACGAGGGAAGGCAAATCTCAAATTGGTACCAACTCAACTTGTTGAAATGTAATCCTGACAAATTTCAATCGATAAGTTTAGGGCAGAGGCACAAATAAATTAATGAAAATCAAAGTCCTTGACAATACGTAGAAAGTGGTCCAGGAATAAAGCTACTGGGGATCACTTTTGATGAGCACCTGAAGTTTACTAGCCACTTAGATGAACTATCTAAAAGAGTATCTAGGAAGATAGGGGTCCTGATGAAACTGAAAAAAATTAATACCAACATTAGCAAAGCTTAAAATTTACTAATCTTTTATTTTGCCATAATTAACTTATTTTCAGAAGGGTATGGCACTTTCTTGGAAAATCTGATAGCCGGAAGATAGAGAAACTCCAAGGAAGAGCGCTTAGATCAGTCTATTGTGATAAAAGTAGTTCGTACCATGAACTTCGTGTAAGGCCTTAAGAGGTAGTCTACCTAAAAGTGCATTACAGAAACGCGCCCATTGAAAAACGTCGCCCGTGAAAAGTGGGGTACCCATTAGGCTTTGCGAGCAAAAACGATGTTTCAAAGACTACCGTCGTTTTCGGTCTCTTATGAACTTGATAGCGGTTAACTATTCTCACACTTTCAAGAGACAATGCAGAAACAATAGAAGTAGGTTGCCAGTGTTTTAAGTGTTGGAATGTCTTTGTCAGTGCTTCAAGTTTATGCAAAGAGAAGCATTTTTCTTCCTCGTGCACTAACATAAAACCCTCGCGAATTCGGTAGTCTCGTGCGAATCGTTTTGATGCTAAAGCTAATCAGAAACCAAAGTATTCTTCACTTAAAAACTCATCTTCACGAAAATCACTCGATAAGATTGAATAAAAATGTTTGCAGCGTTTATAAATATTATTATCAGAAGCGGTATTGTAGTTGTTTTCAAGAGACGGATTAGATCGCTGTTTAGGTTTGGCCGTTAAATATGTAGTTATAGCATTCTTAAAGAAAGTATCGCTCTTAATTTTGCCTTATACTTTGCTAAAATCAATATCTTAAATGAAGAATGTAAGTGAGAGTGCTTTTTCGTCGAATTTGCCCGTAAATTTTAAGGTGTATAATATTATCCAAAACCCGTGACAAAATGTAAACAAACTATTAAAGCATCGGTTACGCTCATACTTCATCGATCGATTCGAACACCAAGAATTTTGTAAAAGGTAAAAATTCATTTTAAGTCAGTGCATTGAATTATTTACGGCAAAATCAACAACAATCATCGAGGATTTTTCAATTTTAAAGCGTTTAACAGCAAAAAGTCACATGCTAATTCGGAGTAAATTTAGAGAGTTTTTAAACAGACTGAGCTATTGTTAGTCGCGTAAAGTTCTATTCTTCATCGAAGAATAGGCAAATGTTACGGATGTCTGAGCAGGAAAAATAACCAGGAAAGGGATATACCCAGGGGATTTCTTGATTGACACTAAATTAACGTCATTTTTCCCTTATTTGCATTTTCACGATCGACGTTTTTGAATGGGCGCGTTTCTGTAATGTGGTCCACTCGATTTCACGACAAAAAATACTTTTCCTTAGTAGTATACCTGGTCAGTTGGGGCGGCTATTTTTAGAATCACGTCAACTGCATTGACGTCATTCTAAAAATGGCAGACCCCAACTGACCAGCAGTGACGTCATAGAAAGTTTATGGGCTGTAATGACGTCATTAAGTATATTAAAACCAATTAACAGACATTGTAGTCATAGGGGTCTAACCGGCTCCTAAACAATCACAGAACAGGAACGCTATTGTTCTTGAACCCTAGAACAAAGGAAACAATGAAACTCATTAATAATCAGTAAATGAACCAATCACAGAGCAGCATTAGAAATGACCCCTTGGTGTAATGGTCAACAAAAGTACGTGTTGCAATTTTCGCGCCATATTCAAGTTCGTGCACGCGATGTTATGCTGTACAAAGAATTTTACAAGGTCCAGTAACGGACCCGATTTTTCAAAGGCACAGAAATTTACACAACACAGTATTTCATCGCAAATTATTTTATTCACCTCAAATTACCTTATTGTACACAAGAAATAATAATAATAATACAGAAATGGCTAATGGTTACATCATCACTTAATGTGTAGTCTACCAAATTGTCTCTGTAACTTAGGTCTTCGTTTGTAGGTAGGTGCAATTAAGAGTTAGCCGTTTAGCTTTTGTCTCTTTTAAAAAATAAGCGATTAAGACATTGAGTTCCCACTTCGAAAAAAGTCATGGAATGTTGTTTCTCAATCATCCAGAACGTGTTGTATTTCTTTGCGAAATTGTAATTCTCTGTCTATTGACAAACCTATGAAATACCTGTCGCAAAAACTACAAGACGATTCAGAAAAAGAAGGCTCTTTAACCCTGATTGGATAGTGAACAATCTATTATGTGTTCAACATACAAACGCGCTCTCCGTTCAATAATGATTTCATTCTTAAAAGTTCAGTTTGCTCAGAAAAAAGTCTTAACTCTCACCAATTTTCATTGAAACATTGCTCCAAACATGCAAGTCGAATCAAGCGCTTCACCTCTGTTGACGATTGACGAAGTGGAAAAAGTCCAGCGTCAAAGGATAGCCAGTTTTATTGGACATGTATTCCAACTGACTTATGCGGCTTTGTTTGACAAACTCGTCCAACAAGAAAAGCTGAATCACTGCGACGGTGTGCTATTCAACAATCAAGTCAAAACCAACATTCTTGCCTCATGATGGATAATGATGACGCATGGATATATTACCACGATGAAGTTGTGAAACAAATTGACCTGAATTCTATGCTTAACGCTACCGAAAGTATATGCAGTCGTATAAAAAAAAAAAACGGATAAGAGGGATTGTCCAAGAATTGAATTACCAAGGGGTGGATTTTCCAGTAAGTTTAAAAGATTATGATAAAATTGAGGAGCAAAATAATATCAATATAAATGTATTTGGATATGAGAATAAACAGTTTTACCCAATTTATGTATCCAAACAGAAAAATGAGGATATATTGAATCTTTTATTAATAACAGCAGATGAGAATAAACATTATGTGTTAATTAAGGATTTCAATAGAATGATGTATAATAAGACAAAGCATAAGGAGAAAAAACACTTTTGTATGTATTGCCTACAAAATTTTAGTACATAACAAATTCTTTTAAAACATAAAGACAACTGTATGGTTGTAAATGGAAAACAGGCAATAAGGATGCCAAAAAAGGTGAAAATACATTGCAGTTTAAAAATCATCAAAAACAGATGCCAGCTCCGTTTGTGATATATGCAGATTTTGAAGCGGTTACAGAAAAGATACAAGGATGTGAACCAAATAATAATAAGTCATATACAAACAAATATCAAAAACATACAAGCTGTAGTTATGGTTACAAAGTAGTTTGCTGTTATGATGATAAATATACAAAACCGGTAAAAATATATCGAGGAGAAGAACCAGTAAAAAAGTTCATGGAAGAAATGTTATAAGAAGTACAATACTGTGAAAAAATAATTAAAACCAAATTCAAGAAACTTAAAAATGAGCAGTAAGGATGAACAAAATTTTAATGCTGCGAAAGAGTGTCCTATTTGTGGTAAGAAATATACTAATGAAGATATCCGTGTAAGAGATCATTGTCATATAACAGGTCAATATAGAGGATCTGCACATGAATACTGTAACTTGAAATTAAGAATAAGCTCAGAAAAGTTCAAGCTACCAGTTATTTTTCATAATCTCCGTGGGTATGATTCCCATTTTATAATGCAGGAGATAGGAACAATTGGAAAAGAGTATGAATTATATATTAACTGTATTGCTAATCATATGTAGAAATATATGACTTTTATGCTAGGCAAGCATTTAGTATTTTTGGACAGTTTTCAATTTATGTCCAGTAGCCTAGATCGTCTTTCAGCCAATTTACCAAAAGATAAATTCAAGTAGTGAAGTATTCAAAAAGGAGAAATTAGAATTAATGACCCAAAAAGGTGTCTATCCATATGACTATATGGATTCTTTTGAGAGATTTAATGAGACCCAACTGCCAAGCAAAGATGATTTCTTTAGCCAGCTAACCGAAGATGCCATAACTGATGAACAATACTGTCATGCCACAAAAGTTTGGGGAACATTTAATTTACAGACTATGTGTGATTACCATGATTTATACCTGAAGTCTGATATTTTGCTGTTGGCAGATGTTTTTGAGAATTTTAGAAGTACATGTTTGCAGTATTACAAATTAGACCCATGTCACTATTATACATCACCAGGATTAAGTTGGGATGCAATGTTAAAAATGACAGACATAAAATTGGAGTTAATGACTGATATTGATATGTTCCAGTTTATAGAAAAAGGTACACGTGGAGGTATCTCATACATCGCCAACCGATTTGGGGAAGCAAATAATAAATACATGAAAGAGTACAATAAAGAAAAACCCAGCAAGTATATTATGTATCTAGACGCTAATAATTTATACGGTTATGCGATAAGCCAGTATCTTCCAACAGGTGGATTTAAATGGCTAACAGAAAAGCAAATTAATAAGATTAAGAAGAAGACAATATTATCTGATAATAAAAAAGGATATATGCTTGCAGTTGATTTGGAATACCCTGAAGGATTCCATGAGATGCATAATGATTATCTCTTAGCTGCAGACAAAATGAAGGTAACAAACGATATGCTTTCACCATACTGTAAAACTATTCAGGAGACGTTTGGAGTAACAATAGGGCAGGTTGCTAAATTAACCCCAACATTAACAGAAACGAAGAATTATGTATTACACTATAGGAATTTACAACTTTATCTATCATTAGGTCTGAGACTGAAAAAAGTCCATAGAGTATTAGAATTTGATCAGAGCCCATGGTTGAGACAATATATTGATTTTAATACGCAGAAGCATGCGGGTGCAAAAAATGTATTTGAAAAGGACTTTTTTAAGCTTATGAATAATTCAATATATGGCAAAACTTGTGAAAATTTAAGAAAACGTGTTGATGTAAGATTGGTGACTGATAAAAGTAAGTTATCCAAATTGGCAAGCAAGCCAACATATGTTAACAGTAAAATATTTACTGAGGACCTTGTTGCGGATCATAAAATTAAAGAAACACTAAAACTCGATAGACCAGCTCATGTTGGAATGTGCATTTTAGATCTTTCAAAGACACTCATGTATGATTTTCATTATAATTACATTAAAAAGAGATACAATAACAAGGCTAAATTATTATTTACAGATACAGACAGCCTTTGTTATGAAATAGAAACACAGGATATTTATGAGGAGTTATGGCAGGATAGAAATTTGTTTGACAACAGTGATTATCCAAAAGACAGTAAATTTTTTGATTCAACAAATAAAAAAGTTATCGGCAAATTTAAAGATGAAGCAGCTGGCATACCTATTGTGGAATTTATTGGTCTTAGAAGTAAGATGTATTCTTATGTGAAAGACAATGGTAAGAATGAAAAGACGGCTAAGGGTGTCAGAAAATATGTTATTAAAAAGAATATAACTCATGAGAATTATAAAGATTGCTTATTAAATCGTAAACAAATAATACCCAGCCTGCGCACAATTAGGAGTGAGTGTCACCAGATTGGCAGCTACCAACTGAATAAAATATCGCTTAGCTGCTTTGATGATAAACGGTATACACTCGAGGATGGAATTACGAGTTATGCGTATGGGCATAAAAATATAAAAATAAAATCTCCATATAGTATATAGTAATGTGTAATAAAGAAGTTCATGAGTTATTGATCCAAGAGGATTATGTTCATTGCGTCTTTTGTGATAAACAGATTCAGGACCCCGGTAAGCCCAGGCGATGTTTTTGTTGCGATTATATGAGACTGATCAAGGATAACTTTCTTGTGTGTGAAAATTGTGGCCAAGTACATGATTATTTAACAGCAGACGAGTATATTGACTTTTATGAGAATAGATACAGAATAAAAAGAAAGTCTGTATATCACAGAAAATATCACATCATAGATGTCATGAATGATATTGCACAAACAAACGGCATTCAAATCGGTTATTATAATAGAGAGAATATCCTGAGAATATTCAAACTAATTGATAATGTTACCCACCAACCGGGTGTTCGCCGAAAACGGCTTATTAGTGTAAACTTTATCATTAAACAACTATTCGACATGTTAGGAATAGAATACAAGTTTATTCCTCTCACAAAATCAAAAAACCTATGCCACTGATATTAATATTATAAAGGAAATAAAGGGAGATGTAAAGAATCAACCATAAGAGGACACAGATCAGACTTTTTCTGTGTCCTCTTATGGTTTATTCTTTACATCTCCCTTTATTTCCTTTATAAAATCAAAAAAGACGTTAAATTATTACAGTCAATGGTGGGCTCAAATCTATGATCTCATCAAGGAGGATATTAATTAGAGTTAGTAGTGGGGGTAGAGAGGAATTTTTTTCCATATTGTTTTTCAAATTTTGTTACTAATGGACAGAAATCTATTATTGTATCATCAAGAATATTAACCTCTTTTAAAAAGTCCTGTTTATTAAAGGGCCCACCTCGAAGCGAAGTTTTGAGATCGGCTAATATTTTCTGATCTGTTGTATATGCATATCTACTCATTTCTATTTTACGTTTGTAGTTCTTAGTTTCACAAAATTTTTTGAGTAATACACCAGCGCCTGTTACAGTACTTATAATAATAGGATTGGCTGTGATGCCACCAGCTACGCTACCAATAATGACTAAACCCGCCGATACGATATTAGAAGCCAGATTGACTTTTTTGTAGTGTGTATAGGCTTTTTGATAGCACCAGTATCTATAGTGGTAATATTTATACAGCTCTTTGATCTCCTGTATCTCTTTTGTCAATGTGGTTGAAGTTGAATATACTCATTTATATTATTAGTTTAGACAAATTAGAGAATATAAGAACCGCTCAATTTTTCCTGCATTATTATTGTATGAAATTCATGAGAATCGAAGTCATAAAAGTTTGGAGAATACATAATTCTATAGATTTTTGTATCTTCTGAGGATATTCTAAATGTGTAGTTACTTTGAGATGCTAATTCTGAACTTATTGTTAGTGTTCCACTATAATTTGAGATTGAAGCTTTTACTGTAAAGTCGCCCCCTGTCTCTTTTTTAGTCAGCCAAAACATAACGCGTTTACCATTAAAACTGTTTAGTAATGTGATAGAAGTTTCATTAGTTGACCCAGTCAAACCATTAGTTTGCAGTTTTAATTTCTTTGTTGTTTTGTCATAAATCAAGTGTGGCATTTCATCACCTCCATCTGTCATAAATGTTTTAATGTACATGTTTCTGTTCAGCCATAGCTGCATAACAACACAAAGAGTAAAGCTCTTTTTACCGAATAATCTTAAACTTATTGGTTTATTTTGTAGCCTCAATCCTCCTTCCTCAATATTAGCAATAAACATATTCGCAAAATATATGTTAGGAAGTAAACCTATAAATACGACACCTGATGGTCTTGTTTGTATTTTATAGATACCACCATCGCTTAAATCATAAAATTCTTCAAATATTTCCCTGTACACATTATTTGTTGTATGAGGGCTCAATTTCGTCTCCAAATCTTTGACCATTTTCACAGTCGCCGCTGAATTATTCTTCGTTTTATCCACAGCTATATTTGGGTAAGTGTTGAGGTCAATGCCTGTCTGAGGTATATCAACGTAAAGATTCAAACTGGAATATGTACCTGATACAGTTTTTTGAAAGTTTACCATTATTTTGATATAATACTTATATGCAGTGTTCCCACCACTATTTGTGTACTGGTGAGAAAACTTTCGTACTGTAAAACCAGCAACTGATACCCCCTTTGATGTAGTTTTATTAATTGTAGCAACTGATTTATGCCATAATTGGTAATCTGAATTGAGGATTTCAATACAAAGAGTATAATCTTTATCCTTATTAAGTTGATAACAATTGATTCCCATTCCATAAGAGTATCCTCTTTGCTTATCTCTTATAATGGTTGTATATAGAACTTTGTGGTTGTATTGATGGTAGTTACCATCTTGGGGCATTAAATTATCAATTTTAGTAATGTCAAAACTATCGATGTTATTCGGTTCGAGATCAGCCCATGCTAATCTATTAGTCATTAGATACTTGAATTCATTATTGTAATGACTGGGTTTAACATGTGATTTTTCCAAATACTGCTTATTAACTGCATCAGCAGCATCAGTCGGGTCTCCAAGATTAATAATCTTGTTTTTGACCATATTAAATTGGTGGTAAATATACGGATTAGTAATTTGTACAAAAAATGCATTTCCAGTGCTTCGGCTTATTGCTTGATATTGTGAAGTAAGAACAGCATTGTTTAATATTATATGACCAGTCATAGTGCCACCGGATAGCTTCAAATAATTATCATCTATATATTTCTTATTGACTCCATCTTTATCATCAGTTGGTTTGGCAAGATTAGTGATTTTATTATTAGACATATTTAGTGGTCCAGCCATTACTCCACTGGACTTATCCAGGAATTTATTTTCTGACCATATCTTTGTAGCTGGTTGATTATCACCATTTGGTTGTGCTACATTGTATATCCTTTTGCTATTCATATCCAAATTGCCGGTCATTATTCCACCAGAAAGTGATAGTTTAGTATCAAGTTGACTTTTTCTTACAGCGTTAGTGAAAGAAGTCCCTTCAGCCATACCTTTTATTTGTTTACCTAACATATTATAATCCCCCCTTGATGTGAGACTAAATCCAACACCTTTTGGTCCTTGATCACCTTTTGGACCTTGGTTACCCTGATCACCTTTTAGGCCTTGTTTACCCTGATCACCTTTGGGTCCTTGAATACCCTGATCACCTTTTGGACCTTGATTACCCTGAGCACCAGCAGGGCCAGGTGGGCCAGGAGGTCCTTGAGGGCCATTAATTCCGCGTTTTCCTTTTGAGTATGATTGATTATAATTAGGTTGCTGATTAAATATTCCCATCTTATAATAGTATATTAGATATTTCCATAAAAGTTTATTTTGACAGTCTCCATTGGTTTGTCAACATACAGAAATGAGTACGGCTGTTTTGTGGCTTTAATATACTGATCCTTTGTTACATTCAACTCTCTAGAAATCATATTTCTCTCATTACTGCTCGGGAAATCATAAATTACATAATGACTGCAGTTTAGTCTGATTTCTTTTGGTGTCTTATAAAATGATTGTGACAGGTAAATAACACTACAGTTCTTATGACGGCCTTGAATGAAATAATCGATAAGTGGCTGTTGATTTTTATCACAAATGAAGTCATCAAATATTACAATTTTCTGGGCATCACTTTCCAGACTATAGACAGGTTTAATGTCATCATTATTGCAATGCATTATGTCATATCCAACCTGGCTACTAATGTCATTCATTATTTCTATCATATGTCGATACTTTTCCTGTTCCAGATTTTTGCCATATAAATGGATCTGATCATAATAGACTAATGGTTTCATAAGGACATGGTAAAGTAGATTTGTTTTGCCTCCTCCACTGGGAGAACTAATAAGCATTCTAAAATTGGACTTGGGCATATACTTGTACAGCTGTTTGAAGTTTGTATTTTCATCTTCATTGAAATCATAATTTGGAATCTCCATTATAATATTATATTACATAATTTGGAATCTCCATTATACTATCATATTACATAATTCAGGATAAGTTAAGATAAGTTGAGATAAGTTTTATATAACACAATAGTATAATGGATATAGAAAGATTCAAGAGACTCAGTATTCCTAAAATTGAAGCAGGAAAAATGACTGAGGTTGTTAGGGATGTTATAAAAGAAGTTGAAACTAGAGGTCAAGATTTATATGAAAAGGTGGCTAAAGATCTAAAACCTCTAACAGAAAAGTTTGATAAGGAAATTGAGGAAATCAGTAAATTGAGAGAAGATGTTAATAAACAAGTTATCCCCTATGGTGAACAAGTTCAAAGATTAGCATTACCGGGCCCAAGTGGTGAGGTGGCACCTAAAATGATAGCCGATATGAATAAGGGATTTACCCAAGAATAATTGGCATTCATACAAAACCAGCAATTGCCATTACCAGCTGACATTTTTTTACGAACCCTAAAGGAACCAAATTATGCGAAACAAATATTAGATAAATCTGGTAAAATAAATAAGGACTTGGGCCAGAAAAAAAGCCAGTTTAAGCACAACAAAAACTAATAGAAAGAAAAATAAGGATGAAATTGCCGAGTATGATGAAGGAATTAATATCAAAAGAAAATACAGGCAAAGAATTGGTATTGTAGAGGAAGGCACAAAAACACTGAAAACTGGTCAGGGTATTTATACACAAAAAAAGAGAAATGCCTATAAGATTAACCCTAATACTGGTGTTTATGGAAATGTAAGAATTGACGTGCCCAAACTTTATGGCCAGCTCACACTAACTGCTCATACGAGTTGGTAAAAACGTCTATGATAAGCAAGTGGACTTTGATACCCTTGATCTGCTCACAAAGCGGTTCAAAAGTAAAAAGAAGTATTCGCCATTATCAAAAATGGTATTTGATGACCTGAACAGAATAAGTGATATTACAATTCACCGAACCAGTAATAAGTACAAAAAAATCGGTGCAGGTGTTGTTTATTATAATAACCCAGCTGACCTACTGGACAGATTGGAATTATTAGGTGGATCCATATTGGCTGGAAATAATTGTGTGAAAAATGAATTTTCCAAAATTGCTCACACACTGAACAAATTAGGTGTTCTAAATAATACCCAGCTTAATAGTCTGTTGAAGGAATATGTAATCTAATAATATAAATGCAAGAAAGAACAATCCATATTTTATCTGTTAATAGACAGAAAATCGGACAGAATAAAGCAGAAGATTTCATAATCAAATTTGATGCAGTCTTAAAACTCCAAAGTAATATGACACATGAAATAGCCTTGGATAACGCCACAATGACTTACAGTTGGCATAATATTTCAGATCAGTATAAAAATAATCAAATAAAATACTCACCTGATGGTGGAACATCATGGGAAACCGTCAAATTTGTGGATGGGATGTACACTTATTCAGACCTAAATGACTATCTACACCAGTACATGAAAAAGAAGGGCCATAAAACTTTTTTTTTTCTTTTTTTTTAATTTTTATTGTTTTTACAAACATAACGCTGACTTACTTACATAGTACTTACTTACATAAAGCTTTAATACCTACTTACATATAACTTGCTAAGTAAAATACTACTTACTTACATAATATAAACTTACAAGATAATGCTTACAAAACAGGAGCGGATGAGTTCGAGTCTGTTACAAAATAATGAAGAAAGCATTCTAATACACTAATTACTAACTTACTATCTATTAACGAAGAGTGAATACGCTAAAAACGACAAAAAAATAGATAAATAAATAAATAACAAACAAACAAACAAAACAAAAAAGCCAAAAAACGAGGGAAATTAGCCAGAATCAAGAAAATTATTTTTACAGCTTGACTTGCACCTTAGCTTTGCTAGTTTCAATTTGTATTTTATTTTTAAGGATAGACAAAAAAGCATCGAAAAAATAATCTTCCTCATTTTTAGACGCGGTGTAAATATAGTATTTTGCAATTATCAAGCAGAGGTTTAAACCAAGACACTGAGGCACGGTGTCTGTAATGCCATAAAGTGTTTGTGCTTCAGAAAGCGAGATCTGATGCAAAACTGATGCAAAAAAGGATGATGTTTACTACATTAATCTAACATTTGTATTATCGACATACAAGATTCTCATTAAGATCGATAACAATTACCAACTGGATCTGAGAAAGAGTAAATTTGGCGAGTTAATTGGATTTACAGAGAAAATTGTGAAGAATTAAGCAATAGACCACACTTTCTATGGGTTTACCGGCGTGATAACCCACGCGGGATGTTGGGAGAACACGAGAAAAGCTTGTAAAGCACGAGCCGAAGGCGAGTGATTTACAAGCTTTTCGAGTGTTTTGCTTTTATAAAATAACGTTTAGTAGAATGGAGTCTTTTAGGTAAAAAATATGGTTTTAATACCTTGATCAAGTCATGTCTTCTCTCTAAAGTCATCATAAGCCAACCATGACTCACGATTTAATAGCGCTGAACTTTCTCCAAACTCAGTTCAATCAAACAACAAACAGCAGCACTTCAAAACACGAGTTTTTGCACTCATTACATGATAACTTATGAAAGCTGTTTTACAGGAAAAGTCAACATTTATTCAAGCGAACGTATAATGAAAAAATACGTTCATGGTTTGTTTACTACGGAAGTAGAAATTAATTGAACATCAGACTGTACGCCGCTGTATTTTGTTGAGTCGATCCGTAAGAATTTCGTGCTTACAGACGGAACTGGCAGCTATTGTAATGGAGGACTTCATTCACATCTTACAAGCCGCAGTGGTTTAAGATCTGTTTTCTGGACTTTATTATGATTAAGAAATGCTGCGGAAACGACGTGGCTGGATTTGCGAAGTTGTCGCATGTAACTTTTATATGCACGGACAGCGACCGATGGAAATATGTCACTGATGGAGAAAGGTTTCTTTGCCGTAGCCACAAATTGTCGTTAATACTTGTCGATTTGTAAAGTCAGGTGGTTTGAGGTAGGTTATGGCATCGATATCACCGAATAATTTGTGCAAATGTTGGAAAAAACCAGCCCGAAACTCTGACATCTTTCATCATCGTTGGCAGCTTGTTTACAACCTACAGCGGCCGATTTTGTACCATACCTTGATCAGAGATCTCTTTTTGGAACAATTTCTTTCATTAAGGAATTTAATTTTGACATGAAATAAATCAAGAATGCTAAAACTACCCGTTTCGTTGCTGGTTGGCACATGGTCAAGTTTTCCTGGAGACTTTCTACACCAGAAATTCACACAGTTGTTGTCTTTCTCTGCGATTTGGCATCGTCGTGAAATGTAAACTGCTTTCCAGCTTTCTACTTTATTACTTCTAAAGCTATGGCAGTAATAAAATGTGGAAACCAACGCTTTTGATATTAAGAAGGGCTGGGTAAGTAACTTGTTCTTTTTTTTAGCCTTTCTAAAATCATTGTTTGCAGATCAATAGCCGGTTTTGTTTATGGCTCGTGGTCCGAATGCCTTTTTCTATGGGTTTACCGGTATAATAAACCATAGGTTTTTGACCAATCAGATCACGCGTACTATCTCAGTTATTTTATAAAACAGAATATGGGGATGGTGATCTGCCTAATATCACAAATTCCACTGATATGATCTATATTAATACAGACGCCATTACGAACAGCATATTGAATGGTGTTAATACTAATACGTTAGCCGTCATTCCAGCTGACAATTCGACAAGAAGTTTCCCATTCACATTTGAACCCAGAAGACTATTGTTTAACGAAGTTTCCCAACTTAATATTTCACAAATGAGGTTTTATATCACAGACTCACTGGGGCGACCAATTGGACTAAATAAGATTGACTGGTTTATGACATTGATATTGCGATCCAAGCCAGCATAATATGTAACCTAATAATATACAATGAGACAATCAGAATTTAAGAGACGTTATGATGTTAAAACAGGGAGATATGTTAAGAAGCATATTTATGGAGAAGGTGTTACCGATGTTTTCAAAACGATTGGTGGAAAGCTATTTGGAAAGACGATGAAAGAGGCTGCAAATGTAACAGGACGGGGCAGTCAGCGGCAGGAACGAGAAGGATTCAAGGATTTTTCCAAAGCAATTTATTTGAAACTCAAATCCATCAGCAATACAGCAACAACAAAATAAAACAAAATAAAATAAACGGGAACTACTGAAAGATTAAACCTAGGAACAGAATACAAAGTAAACTAAATATTTGCGTGCAACAAAATAATGCAGAATACAATGCAATTGACTAAGGACTACAGAAGAG